TAAACCTCAATCTCTACCTCAACCCCACTTGAACAGTTTTTTGCCGTTTGAAGTGAATTTATTCCTGGGTTAGGAGGAATTTTCAAGTTGAATTCTAGAAGTTATTTATACTAATTTATATTATAAATGGGTGAACTAACGCTAGTGATATATGACCAGCATTTTTGCCGTTTTTAGAAAAAGTTGAAAAAGTATTCACATTTGGGGAGAATTTTCAAGTTGAATTCAAAATTTTATTTATACAGGATGGCGCACGGTAATTTGCAGATTTGGGAATGAAATATAAAATTATGATCATTATAAAAATTTATTTGATATTTGAATTATACTGAACAGTAATGGAATTTATAAATTACATGGTTTTAAATAGTGTACCTGGCAAATGTCGACCTTCGCTATCCACACACTGCTGCATACGTTTTCTGAAGTTTTCATGAACTCCAACAAACATGTCCACTGGTATTCTGCCAATTTCAGCTTCAATATTGTTCCTTAGGTCTTCCAAGGTGTTGGGGTGGTTGATATACACCTTAAACTTCAGGTAACCCCAAAGTAAAAAATCGCATGGGGCTAAATCTGGTGCGCGTGCTGGCCAGGTCACATCACCCCTCAAAGAGATAAGCCGTCCAGGAAACATTTGCCTCAAACATTATTCAAGTTTTTAAATTTAGGGCACTCCAAATTCCCCGTTCAAATGATGGTTTTGCCGTATAATTTTCAGATAATTTTCAGAAATTTGTTCCGCGAAACTCGTCATCAGTTGGCCACTCAGTGGCTCCTTGATGTTCTCTGAAATGTTCTTGATGTTCTCTGCTTATATAACAATGAAATTTACCCTATCTCGTCTTATATATCAATGAAATTTACCTTATCTCTGGGTATATATCAACGCAATTTACCCTATCTATGCTTATATAGTTATATATCACTGAAATGCACCCTATCTCTGATTATATATGAATGAAGCTTACCCTCTCTCTGAATATAGATCAATGAAATTTACCCTATCTCTGCTTATATATAAATTAAATTTACCCTATCTCTGCTTATATATCATGAAATTTTCTCTATCTCTGATTATTTATCTATGAAATTTACCGTATCTCTGCTTATATATATCATGAAATTTGCCCTATCTCTGCTTATATACAAATGAAATTTACCATATCTATAATTATATAGCTATGAAATTTACCCTATCTCGAGGTGTACATAATAATTTAATTATTATTCACATTTCTCGAGTGGTATTTTTGAGGCTCAACTCCTTTTCAAGTGTGAAAAAATTGGATGAACCTGCGTTTTTTTGTAATCCACAACTGAACCAATCATCGCTAGACGCGCGCAGGCTCCTAAGCCTGCGCGCTCCTTTTTTTTCACAAAAAAGGGCGCGAAAATCAACTGACCGGCGAGATTTCACGTATGCAACTAAATTCCGGTTAGACGTCATACCAGGAGGGAAGAATCAAAATACGCCTGCCTACGTAAAGAGAGAATTATTCTATTCAGTTAAGGGGCACGTTATTCAGAAACAAATGAACGACACAAGGCAACGAAGTAATTGAACATTTTGTTTTTTTTTTGTGTTTTATCGAATCTGCAATTAAAGAGAAATAACGAAACTTTCTTCATAAATTAAAGAAAGTTGTGATAGAGCGTGACTTATTTTGAGTAACGTGACATTCTGATGACATGACACCCTCAACGGAAATAGACAATTTATGCACGTGCTCTTAACTTATGAGTCATACGAAATACTTGATGACACGTTCTCACAGAAGCATAATTAACCATCATATCTATACACCAACCATCTTGATAAATCACACGTAAGCAAACTTATCAGCAGTTCATAAATTATTGATAAAGTTGAGCTAAATGACCGTAACAAACAAAGCAATCACATACGCAAGTTTGCACGCGCGTAAGGCAAACATTTTCTTTAGAGGGCCCATACTCCTACTTGCGTTTAGATATTTCATTCACAATTACAACTGGTGAAGATACGAATTAAAGATGCAGGATTATAACAAATAATATTGATGTGAGCAAAGAATTATTGCTAGGTGCGCTTGCTAACGTGCCGTTAGCAAGCATACCTTGCTTCCACATGCAGGCGGCAGCGTGCCGCGTAGCTTATCTCCTCTGTCTTGCTATGTACGACCGCGCCGACAAGCTTAGAAGTTGAACCTCATCGAATGTATTATGTTTCCTAATGAAGTTAAATCTCATCGAGTAAGTTAACAGTATCACGAGTTTACTGTGGTAACAGAAATGCTACTATACAATAGCGTCCGAAATATAAGTAATGCGACAAACTGAAATAGTTGTGATAAATTACGTAAGATGGGGTCAATCTAATACTTTGTGAGAGCACACTTTTCGTTTTTGGGAGCGATATAATAAAAGTGACTTTAAATTTTGATATAACGAATCAGAGTCGCGGTCATAAGCCAAAATTACTGAATCAAAATATCTGCTTCATGAGCAGCAAAGATTGATTTTAAAACAGTATGTCACTAGGTCGATGAATCATGAAAGTTATTACCGAAAATGCCATTTTGAAACGGCAGAACCGCTGCTGAACCGATTCTTATTAAAATTGAAAAAACTAATTTTGGAACAACCACACTGACATCTATGCCATTAATGTAGCCTCTTTGCAGTTAGGAAGTGAATGAATTCCTCGAGTTAGGTTATATTTGGTGTTGAATCATTATAGTTATCACAGGAAAACACAAATTCTGAAATGGTTGAAATTTTATCTATTAAATTAATGCAGCCACCGTGCAGTCTAAAAGCGATTGAAATCCTGGAGTTAACGAGATTTGTTGTAGAATCGTTCAAGTTTTGATCAGAAAACGCATTTAGGAAACGGCTGAACGGAAACCGCTAAAGTTGAAGTTAAAAAGTTACCAATACTAACTAAGTCTATTTCAAACGGCTGAAGTGACGCTTGTGGAATTCGAGCAAAATTTTTACCATTTTAAAGTGAATAAATTTCCAGTTCGGAGAGAATTTTTAAGTGGAGTAGCTTCAGAGTTGCTTGAAACGAAACACAAGTGTGGAACTCACCAGCAACTGACGTTGAAACAATGTGCAATTGCCATTTTCCTCCAATAAAAAAATTAAAATTTGCATTTCGCAAGGATTAACGTTTAATCGACCGAATGAAGGAAAACATTCGGCCGATTCCAGGAAGATTTTTTTCTCGTGAAGGGTCGCGTGAAAGCCACTTCACCTGGACGTGTCGGCTGAGGAACACTGCGCCCGACACAGGTGATGTTCCACTCGGCTTTCAGTGCCAAGCTCAGGCGGCATTTCTTTAAATATTTTACAGTTTTACCTGTCTTGAGATGACTGTTGTTGACAGAACAATTGTTCTCGGCTTACAACCGAGCACAAAAAGTTCAGGGAAATGAAAACACAGAAAGAATTCGTGCAATTCATTGAAAAGCCGACTTTATTATCAAAATGTGTCATAAAATATTTAATTTCTATACGAATAAGCGTTTTTATTTTCATAAAATCTCTGTACCATGAAAGGTAAGACACACATTGCGACTATGCTGACGTGGTTACAGTTGGCATACAAAGAGAGTTCTTGGCTGAATGCAATTCAAACGTTTTAAACGACATTTTACACAGGTGTATAGTACTTTAAAAATTCAGTCATATTTAAAGTGAATAAATGTAATATTCAAAGAAATTTATGAATTTTAATGTATAAGTACGTCAAATAAATCTTGTACCCGAATTTATACCGAGCTGATCTCTCTTTTACTGCTCCATAGGAATAATTTTTAAATTTTTTGAAGTGTTATTTTGACCTTGTTATAAAATATTTGGGTAGTGGACCGTACAAAGCAAGTACATGGCACATTTAGATTGAATTAAATATTCTATCTGGCAACTAAAGAATTATTTTACAAAAGTTAAGGCTATTTCACCATACATAACACACTCCTCGTGCTGCAGAACACACTCCACGTGCTGCAGAACACACTCCACGTGTTGCAGAACACACCCCACGTGCTGCAGAACACACTTCACGCGCTGCAGAATACACTCCTCGTTCTGCAGAACACACTCCACGTGCTGCAGAACAAACTCCACGTGCTGCAGAACACACAACACGTGCTGCAGAACAAACTCCACGTGCTGCAGAACAAACTCCACGTGCTGCCCAACCCACTCCACGTGCTGCAGAACACACTCCACGTGCTGCAGAACACACTTCACGTGCTGCAGAACACAGCAGAACACACTCCACGTGCTGCAGAACAAACTCCACGTGCTGCTCAACCCACTTCACGTGTTGCAGAACACACTCCTCGTGCTGCAAAACTTATTTCACGTGCTGCAGAACACACTCCTCGTGCTGCAGAACACACAACACGTGCTGCAGAACACACTCCACGTGCTGCAGAACACACAACACGTGCTGCAGAACACACTCCACGTGCTGCAGAACACATTCCACGTGCTGCAGAACACACTCCACGTGCTGCAGAACACACTCCACGTGCTGCAGAACACACTCCACGTGCTGCAGAACACAACACGTGCTGCAGAACACGCAATCAGAAAATATTTACAATTATCGTATCCAGTGACTTTATTTTCGCTTAAAATTCTCGACCAAGAAGTGAAACTTGTTCAGAGCAAAAATTTTTCGTTATTGAATTGAATTGGCCCAATCGTGGTTTCCTCCTATCATATATTCCGATTGGACAATTTCGGACCTATGTCATTGAATGAAACTAAATTCATTAACATTTTTCTATCATTGAGTGAAACTGACCTCATTAAACATTTTTCTATCATTGAGTGAAACTGACCTAATTAACATTTTTCCATCGTTGAGTGAATGACATTTTTGAGTGAATGACTCGTTGAGTGAATGACCTTAATGACATTTTTCCATTAGTGAGTTAAACAGTTCCTATTGAAAATTATCCTTCACTGTATTAAACTTTATTCATTTAAATTTTCAATTGAAAAGTTTTAATAATCGATAATACGGTTTTTTATAAATGAACTCTTGGTACTGACGCAGCACAATTTGGTATTTTGTGACCCAGAGAAAATTCGTAAACTTACATAGTCATTCAAAGTTGAAGCGTTGCATGACTTTGATTTTTTGCTTTTCGCTTGCTTTAAAATAAATTCGAAACGAATTTGCGGCTTCTTTTGCAGTTCAAACACAATGTGATCCTATATTTGATTTTATATTAAACTGTTAGCCTTAGAAATAATAACTTTACAATATTATTTAATATTAATTGTAACTTATAGATATATAAGGTATCTAACAAAAAACATGATATAACATTACATGATGAATTTATATCTCTGTCCTTACACACATACATTTGTAAATTAACTGGCCATAACAATTTGTTGTCGAATGCATCAAATGGATTGTCACTGCAATCAAGATTTTATATAATTTCTTGAGTTCAAAGCCCCGTTATTGCATTGCATCGAGGAATTGAAGAACACCTCACACAGGAAGAGGATTAAGATCAAAACTCCAACACTCATTGTACAACAATGCATCCAAAAAGTATGAATGTGTAAAACTAATTCTACTTTCCTTATAGCCGACAAACTAACTTTACTAAACTTCGCAGCATCGATCACAGGAAAAAACGTTGAAGTTTAACTCGATTATTTCTCTTAGTTCTACTGTTGAGTCACGATGGTTAATTATGGACACTGAGTGTTTAATTAATCATCTTGTAATTAATTAGAAAAGTTGGTTTTGATCACCTGCGCTAACTGAGAACACACACTGACAGATAACGCAATCATTTGTGATGAATTTTGATATTCTTGACTTTTCCAATGAACCAGTGAAGAAATTTATCCTACAACGTGACTCAAAAATTTACAGCAATCGCAGGAGGTTAATTCATCTTCTAATTTAATTCAACTACTGGGACATAATGCAAGATGGACGCCGGCATCCATCTTGATAACAATAGTGGCTGCACATTGATCTTATATGAGGTTCCTAGGCTCGTATTGGTCTAGCCTTATATTTTCCTGAATTAGTGGAAATTCACCTTTTCTTCATCGAGATTTTTGCTTGAAAATTTTAAATTTTCAAGTCAGTCATCTCGGTAGTTAAGTTTGAGCGCTCAAATCAATAATTGTTATCCCTCTCTTCTTTTTATCGTGACTGCTAAAACACTACTTTGGTACCCGAGGTAGCCTTAACAAATCTATTCATTTATCAAGCGCTCAGAATCAGCATTATTTCGAATATCAAATTATAGGACCGTTTATCGATTTCATCCCACATGTGCCCTCACAAAGTCAACAAACCGACGTGGGACAGACAGTTTCAGTCCCAAATTCTTCAGAGATTTCTTCAAGCATTCAATAGTTCGTCAAGGTTGTAGATGTAGCCACCATTCTGTTGCAGCCTGTTGATGAAAGCAGACGAATTATTTCTTGCTTTTAGAGAAAGCTATTAATCAAAGTTTGAAAATTCAAAATCTCACATATTTAGTGTTTTTGGACGGAGCTGGATCCTGTTTAATTGATTTGAAGCAGCAAAACCCAAAAATCTAGGAGTTGTTTGTGAGGTATTGCCGTATTTTACCGTTTTGTTTAACCATAGTACGGGGCACCACCGTGAGCGCTTTGAATCTTAACTAATGGCATTTGATTCCTGTAAAAATTAGTGCTAATCATTGTCGACCTTTGCTTTCTGAAAAATCATTTCTAAAAAAAGCATTAATGTAGCCGAGTTTATCTGGGAACAGAAAGTGAGGAACAAAAACCAACGATTTTTTGCGTCCGAGTATCATCAGGGATAACAGTTTTGAAAGATTAGAATCATGTTCCTGAATAAATGAAGTCGATGAATACACATTTAAAAAATTTGGAATAAGTTTAATAATAACAGGACAAACCCATTGAAACTAAACGTGCGGTTTTTGCCAAAATAGACATATCTACTTTCATGTTAGAAAGGGGGTCACCAAGAAACATATTTAGTTTCATATTAGAATCACTTGAAATTTGCCATGGATTTTACTCAAGTCACGCAAACGCATGCGAAAAGGAATAGATTTTAGAGATTGAAATGAAGTATGAAATTGAAGTTTTTCATATTAAGATATTGAAAATATTCTGAATGTGAGCTGTTCGGTAGCGCCAAGGTTTTACACCTAACCTTTTACGATATTATTCATGGACCATAGCTGAAATGCATTAATTTTGCATGATCGTTATGTTTCAACTATTGTGCCATATCTCAGATCCTGAGAGACAAATATGATTGCTTCTGCCACAGACGTTGAAATTTCACCCTTGTCGAATTGATCAAAGTACAATTTAATTTTTTTTAAAGGCCTCCCACACTCACCATTCCAACAAAAAAAAAAGGAATTGATTTTATTAATTAAAAACAGGGAATGGTTTCATGTCAATGATCAGGGCCCCGACCTTAACGCCTCTGATGGTGGCCTACACCGACTCCGAGGGTCACTGAGCTGTGACGCGAGCGACACCTACCCGCGTATATGCAGGAGACGCACGTAAGACGTACTGGAGTTTAGGTAGAGCGAAACAATTCTTTAAAAGCGTAAATGCTTGAAGATAAGCTTTTAATGCTTTAACGTAAATGCTTTAACTTTAATTCGGTACGATTACAACGTTGTAAAATTATGCAGTCTTACATTTGCAATCATGAAATTCATCAAAGATTAATGCACTCACTGAAGCTCCAGCAAACGGCGTCTGCGCGCTCGTCGATTGCTGTACTGCCGCACCACCATCACCACAGTTACGTTGATGATGAGGAACCCCACTACACCACACACCACTCCTGCATCACACAATCTCAATTTCAGAAATAATCATTTATTCATTATCACATGGAAGCAGTAATTTGGAAGCATTAATAAGATGACATGAAGATTTTTATCTCTGCTCAAGGAGTACTTCAGAAATTGAAGACGAACACATTTTGCCGCGACTCGGATGCCAAAAATATGATTTAGTTTTATATTGTATTACCCTGATATGTACGTTATATGTACCGAAGTACAGCTGAGTAACATTATTCGATCGAAATTGACGAAATGAACATATCAATTATCACGTCATGTAGAAATTGAGTTTATCTAAATCTGAAAAATGAAGAAATAATGCATATTTTTTAATTAAACGCAGTTGAGAAATACAAAAAACTGAACTAATGGACAAAAATAGGAATAAATTAAAAAAGCAAGCTTAATATAAACTCACCCAAGATGAGGCTGGTCCGGGGTGTGCTGTTGTGGGGATCATGGCGGGGGAAGTTCATGTGCCTCTCGTTCATGAGGACTAAAATCCCCTCGTCTTCCTGATGGGGATGAGACCCTGAACCAGGGGCTTGCGGACCTTCCCCACCAGGCCTACGGGCTGATAGGGAGGACGAGAGGGGACTAAAAACATGCAGGGGTTCTTGCCGGGGCTCGGGGGGAGACTTTAGGGTCACCGCCTGCGTTTGATCTTCTCCGGTGGTGTCGAGGCCTCCACTGCTCGCCTGCTCACCGTCTGCCAGGCACGACGGCAATGTGATGAGTCATGGACCTAATTTTATTGTTACCTTCATCGTAATTAATTGCATCAATGATTTTTTCTGGATATTCAAAATGAATGTAAGCGAAGGTTAGTTGGAAGTTGTGTTATCATATGCCGAGTAATGAAATTTGTGATATAACAGTAATGACATAATCCTCCATCGAGCGCAAATTATATTAATTTCTACATGGTATTTTTTACTTCACTCTTCGGTAACAGTAGAGGTGCTAGCAGATCTTCCGCGCACTCTAACCCATGGGAAGTTAGTCGTGATCTCCTAGCTCGACCAACCGCTGTAAACCTATTGTTGAATAGCTTTGTGGTTTCATCAGTAACGTGCATTTGTGTTGTATGTAAGGAACCTATCATACAAAAACTAATCATGGTGTAAGGGGCCAGATATTGGCCTCGTTTTGTGTACCAAGTTTCAAGCCGTCGCACTCCTCGAAAGGCGACTGCAATGAAATATGTACTGGCCGAACTGTCTTCGGATGTAGTCTAACTCTAGTATGGTGCCACTTCATCATTCCCAATAATTGTTGTGCCCATCATTGTTGTATTAACGTTCTTCATCATCTGTACCTTTCAAGTGTTATTGGATTTTGCTTTTTCAAGTAATTTCTGTAAATCTCTCGAGCAAATATTTGCCTAAACTTCGTCCTTAGTCGTTTCAATCGCCCACAAACCGTAGGGCCCGCTGGCAGAGACCTAAAAGTGTTAAGATGTAGTAGTTTCCCGCTACAATGGTCGCCTTCATGATCTCACGGCACAGTGGTGAAGGTGAAAAATTATTCGATAGGTTTTTGCATCACAAGCCCACACTTGAACTGACTTGCTTTACTATGCAGGGTGATTCACGGAAAATTTCCTGTTTTGTATCTTGCGCCAAGAAGCCAGATATTGTAGGAAAAAGAACAAAAATATTTCATATTAAAGGCAAGGTTATGAAGTTTCGTAGCTTGTTTAGTCAGTTGCCACTATGGATTGCACGAGTGAGCAGCGTGCGTTTGATACCGATGCGTACTTTTCTAATGGGTCTTCCATTATCGCTACTCCACGGGCATTCCTTACTCGGTTCCTTATTCGTACGTCAGGTTGGTTTCCTGATCGGAAATCGATTGTTACGTGGGTGAACTCATTTAGGGTAAAGACAGAAATGATGCTTAGGGCAATGTTTACAATGATTGTCCAAGGACGCTAACTTATTTGATGAACAACATAAGCTAAGCTATCGCCACCATACTCGTCAATATGCTTCAGCGAGTTGAACGGAATTTAAAAAATATAACTCAGTACTCACCGCAGGGAGTGACAGAGAGCGCATTTTCTCGTCGACGAAAACTTATAGTCACGGACGGACAGACGAACAGACAGACGGACGGACGGACGGACGGACGGACTGACGGACGGACGGACATGACGATCACAGTAGCGCATTTTTTTCCATAAATGAGAAAATACGCTAAAAATCGACTAGCTGAATACATTGACTTTGGCGGTAGTCATTTGACAGATGTCATCTTTCAAACTAATTGGCACAAAAATTCAGGTAAAGTTTTTTTCATTGAAATTTATATTTTAATGATATCTTTACTGACAGTTTCTATATTGAGCTTTTAAATCAGTATGTTTCCGTAATTCAACCTGTAACCCATTTATATTATTTTGAATACTCGAACTCAATCTCATTCTCGTTTTTGTGTGAACGAAACTCACCCGTAAATGAATCTCGCTCGTAAATGAAACTCGCCCTTGAACGAAACTCGCCCCTGAACAAAACTCGCCCATGAATAAAACGCCCATGTTCTGCTCACTCGGCCGTAACTCACGGGGCGTGAAGTGCACGGTGTTGGAGGGGTATGGAGTACGGCCGCGCTTGCAGCTGAGGAAGGCGTAGTATGTGGTGAAGGACGAGAGATGGTCCAAGACGATTCTAGACTCCTGCGGCTTGACTTGAGTCTGGACATGCACGGCCTCAGTCAGGGGGCCGTAGTGAAGCCAACATATCGAAAACTTGTGGCGAATCTTAGCAGGAGTTACCCACTCGATCTGCGCTCCATTGGCTGTCTCTGAACTCACTACGATCTCCAAAGAGGTTGAAGAACCACCCCCATCTCCTGATGAGAGAAAGTGATGGAATTGATTAAAAAAATTCAGAGTTTGAAGTAATTTCACTCCCCAGCGTTACCGCCTGTTAATGGAGGAAGTTATGAGTAATGATGAAAAATACGTTCTGCTGGTGTGACTAAAATAAGTTACTTCTAAAAAAATACAACAAGTGACTTTTTCACATGGCATATAAAAAATTAGGCACGTGAATAACACACGTCCAAACTATATATAATTCATTTGATTCAAAAGTTCCAATAAGAATTAACATAAATAAATAAAGTGGCTTTTCTGGTCTGTATTTTCCCTCAAAACTCACAGAGAAAAAATGCAGAACTACAACATAGAATTTAAAACAGCGGCTGTCATAGTTTATTTTCCATTTGATCCGTATATGAATTCACAATTACAAAATCAAATTAAAGACTTTCTCACTCAGTTAACTGAAAACATACGGTAAAATAAAATTAACCCACTCACTGAAGAATAAAATACGTGGCCATCTTCTCGGAAGTAAGATGCGGTCGCAAACTACTATTTGGGGCGGCACAGAACCCGGAAGTCGGCGATAAGATCGCATGCGTCATGTTTCTAGCCCTAGATGCTTTTAATTAGCATTATAAAACTCATTTGCATTTAATTATCACGTGCCATTGATTAGGGCGGCAATGATCCTCATTAGGAAGGCTTTCGTGTATTCGAGATCGCCATTTTGTCGGAAAAGTTACGGACAAAAGTCCCGCTGTTGACGTCGTTGCTTTGATGAATTTCAGAGAATTTACTGATCATTTGCGATGCTAACTTAATGGCATGAGGAGAGCGCTGCAGAATGTGCGTATGCGATTACTTCTAGAAGCATGTATTTCATTAATTTAAATAAGGTTTATTTTTCCTTTCTACGTAGATTATTCCACACATAGTTAACATGTGACGTATACAAACATCAAAGCGGTATTTTGACAACTTCTTTTTTAATAACGTGCTTTTACTTTAATGAATAATCTTAAGTTAAAATTACGAAAAATTAAGTCTAGCGAGATTTGTTTGTTTGCTGAAAATCAAGCAAACATAGAGTCAAACATAGGGTCAACATAAGCGCAGAGGTCGATCGCTGACAGCTACCTTACTGATGGATATTTTTCTGATAATTTCATCCCGTCGAAATGAAACACAAATATAAGCATCCTAAAAAGTGCTGTGAGAACTTCCAGTAAAGCTAGGGCATCATACACGATGTTAACACTTCATCCTTGACCCAAGTTTCACTGCACAGTCCCGAAGCTCCTGAAACTCATGAGCTCTAAGGAAGCTCAATGGAACAAAAGGCGGTGAACGGGCTCAGCATCTTCTCATTCCCTGCTTTGAGTGCAGTCTTTTATTACTTGTCCGGATAAGCCTTGGATTACAAGAATAAATTACCAGCGACTGCGCCCAAATGATTCATTATGCGGGTGCCCAGACTACTGTCTTGAGCTCAAACTAGGTCATGGACGCTCAAGAGTTTATGCTGCGTAAAGGGGACGAAGCAGGGGCCATTTTTTGTTCCGGTTGTCCTTGGTGTTGTTTTCTTCGTACTAAACTTCTTGTCCTTTCTCCATAAACTCTTTATCTCCCAACTCATTACTTTAGGACGGCTCCTTCATGACCTCTTTAGGGAAGAATAGCTCCTGATTTTATCCTTGTTGTTCATGACGTCGTCATATAATTCATAAATCCTCATATTTTTTACCATAAATTTCCTTTTCTCTTCCTAAGACGTTCAGAGAGCTTCAAATGTACACTGTATTTCTTCTTTAATTTGACTCGGCCTCATACGAGAGGAAAAATGTTCATTCCGAGCCGCTGAGTCGAAGTGCATTCGTGTCTTTATTCGAATTCCAGTATAGGATTCGAAAATTTTAAAAATAGTTTAATTGCAGTATGGAATTTGCCGAGTGAACCGCTGAGTGAACCGAGTGAAAATAAAATAAAATAATAAATTTACTAGTGGGAAATTATGCATAGCATTTGTTTTATTTAATCACAAATTAGCCAAGAATTGAGAAAAAAGAAATGCAATGGTAATCCGTCATATTTTCGTTTAAAACATTCCTTAATTAAACACGCGTACTGCATTGTTTGGCCGTTTTCCTTACTATACTTGTATTCCTGAAGTTTTAAACTGATGTTGGTCTCTAAAACGTTTTCAATGAAAACATAATGAATTTATTCGAAATTTCCTTTGCTATGAAATTCTTTGCTTAAAAATTATGTAAAGGAGAAAAGTAGTTACCATTTATCCACAATGAAGATAATCGAGGATTGTCAATTCATTTCATAATTTTGCAAAGGCTAATGATCAACAATCAACAGATATTGGTGTTGATTAATGTGTTGAGGTTGATTAATATGTTGATGTTGATTAATATACAGAAAAATTTCTATGCGAGCAATAGTTTAGACTTCAGGAGGTATGCCAAAAATAATGAGGCGATGGTATATAATTGATAATGTCAAAGAGACGAGGAGATTATTGAATTTTCTTCCACTTATAGCAAAGCAAAGCTTTCTTTCTTATAGCAAATAAAGCAGAAGTCGAAGGCAAGACTACGCGAGTTTCAATATCATTTGACATACGACGCGGGCTAACATATTAATGGACTAAAAAATAACCACTTGTTTGAAAGCGAAGTAAAACCGCATAAAATGTAAAATATAATTCGCATAGGATGCGAGGAAAGATATTTATTTAATGTTAATAGGTAGCCAAGGCTATGACGAGTCACTGGTCGTTTTCATTTATGATTGAAAATTTGCAGGATTGAAATTTACGAATTTCAGAATTACCTCGTGAAATCTTTACAAGCTGAGCATATAATTAATGTGCAAAGTCAATTGTTGTAATAATTATAATCTTGGGGGGGGGGGGCAGAGCGGATGTAATATTGAGAACAACGACACTCATAAATCACTCATCATCGCTCAATCGCCTCTCATAAATCTGACATGGAATTTAGTGCCTAATAAAGATTAAGTCTGGATCATGCATCAGGATCGATGAGACAAGCCGGAGCAGCAACATCGTTTAAAGGATGAAACTCTCCACTCAGTTGGACGATCCTGCACATTACCGCACACAGAACAATGAGAGGAAGATTGTCCAAGTGGCAATGCACATTTTGCGCTTGTGTGAGTCTTTGCCTAGTTTGCCAGGCAAAAGGGCTTATCAGTGCGACGCGCAGAAAGTCGGTCACCTTTTGAACAGTTGGACCCTCTCAATTTTTTAAGTGCCAGGGTTGCCTTGCAGTTCATTCATCAACCTTCATATGTAACATTGATCAATTTATAATGTAATTTGTGAATTTTGAGATCAAATGATAAATTAATGTAAAACCAAACACTTCGACTAATTTACGTGCTGATTTTAATTTTGCAAGATGACAGAACTTGGCCGCAACTTGTCGTGTTGGCAATCGGAATTGATTTTATGTTTCCACCCAACGAACGCTTCATAGCAACACTTACGATTACATTGTAATGAAAACTCGATGGAATGTTATTGAAGTCTAAGTGACTATAGTTGTGTCAAACTGTTTGGTAAATTCATCTAAATTAAATGTAGTTTTCCGAATCATCTGGGATGCGTCCTATAGTATCCTATAATGTGTAATGATCAATTTACTGTTTAATTTGAATTAAAATAAACTCAATTCGATTAAAATGCTATTGCACTGCATATATATGTTGATAATTGCATGAATTAATTGGATAAAATTCAAATTTCAGTTTTGATTGCACGGTACATTCTTACGATCTCCATAGAGGAGATTGAATAATCTGAACCTGCCACTAAAAATTGCACTTCTATTCCTTGCCCATGAGCTTTACTGTTTTGCTTAAAAATTTTCCTGTCGCCAAAGTTTTCGTTAAAAACCAATTTAAAAAACTTTGATGACTTCTCACGCCTAAGTTTTATGACAAAGTTAGCGTGGAGTGTTTTGTACAAAGTCGATATTTTCGCATTAGGCGTCGCAAAGTTTAGAGTGCGCGGCGCGCGGCAGCTGACCGAGAAGAGACTTGACGATTGTCGTTGTACTTGACTTATGTGAGCAATTGGAACTTGAGTGTTGAATCATACATGGATGAATTTACGGATGAAAATACATACACTGCAGCTTTCACCAGCATTTCGTGCAATATCACATGAATTATTATTGCTTCGAGAGGAATCCAGGTCAACCGGACTAGGATTTTGATCAAGAATTTAGGTTAAAAATAAGAATAAAAATGAACAGAATTTGCCTGCTGAAAATTAGAACAAAATTCTCTACAAAATTTATTATAAACCACAGAACCTTAATTGTAATCGAGATCACAAAAGGCGTATCTAAATTAAAAATTTTTTCATGCCAATGATAAAGAGCAGACGCGCATAAAACCTTGATATTTTAATTTCAGTCGACATGGCAACGTCGGAGGTGACTCGGCTGGGCCGTAATTGTACGCGTCCTCCGAACAGACGGAAAAGAAACATGACTGGCACTGAGATGCGTAATTTGACAAGCAGTATTTAAATTATTTCAAACTTAAATTTGACCCATTTGTACGAAATTACTGCCAGATGAGCCAGTAAATTTTACTGTGTTTTATTTTTCAAAAAATATTTTTGTAATATATTTTTGCGAGCAACGGCATCCCAGAAGCTTAAAAAAACGACACTCGTAGGATTGTTTCTAGGAGTTTCTTTTGGAGGCTGCAGCTTTCAAAAATCATTAATATAATGTAGTGTACAATCAATTAAATGCAAAAATATAAGATATTCACATGCAATCGCACCTGAGACATCGCAGAGAGCTACGAATTTGAACAGATATTTAATATAGTTGATCCAGCCGAACAATCTAAATGCGAAGTCGTTTAAGTTTCGTCATTCAGTCAGCGCAAACTACACAGCATATAGTGGCTAAAATTGGCAGTAATTAGCTATAATATCGCACCTCAGAACATCGGTGTTATATTTTCTGGAATT